CACCCCAATTTTTCACCCTGGCCCTTCCCGTGAGTACAGATATCCTTTCAGAGAATAGAACAGACATATCCTTTTCTAACGAGCCAATGACTCTCAAGAAGAGATATCCGTAACGTTATCTGTATCAGCTCAAAAAGAGGTCAGGTTTCTTGCACTAGTTTAGAGACAGGCAGGGATAAATTCAATTACGGCTTTCCTCTTCCTTCATTGGCTTAGTTCTCGCTTATGTCATGGGCAGAATTATACCGGACGAGCTGTCTTGTGTAACACGGATATATATTGCAATGGCCACCCGGCCCTGCTTTTTGTTTACGGGTGTACCATCTTGATATGATGCGGGTGTATAGCTTGGTGTCGAGTAGTATGGTATGGTATGGTATGGTATGGTATGGTATGGTATGGTATGGTATGGTATGGTATGGTATGGTATGGTATGGTGTGGTGTGTGGCGTGGTGTGGTGTGATGGGGTGGGGTGTGATGTGGTGTAGCGTTGCAGTGTATAGTTTGGTGTCGAGTGATAAGGTATGGTATGATATGGTGTGTGACGTGGTATGGTGTGGTGTGTCGTGACGTGGTGTGATGTGGTGTGGTTCGGTGTAGCGTTGTTTGATATAGTGTGGTGTGCTGTATTGTGTTGTGATGTGGTGTGTTGTGGTGAGGCGTAATGTGGTTTGGTGTAGTGCAATGTGGTGTGGTGTGGTGTGCTGTAGTGTGATGTGGTATGGCGTGGTGTGGTGTGGTGTGGTCTGGTGTGGTGCGATGTGGTGTGGTGTGGTGCGGTGTGGTGCTGTCTGTAGGAGTTAATGTGGTGTTGTGTACTCCGTTTTCAGACGGAAAAGACTTTTACCTCCAATGAGAAATCCTTCCACAGACTACATGTTTTTTTACTCTAGGACAACGACCTGTAAATCTAGCCTATTTTGGTTAAGATGAGAAACCTAACATAATACAAATTGTATTGATCTAGAACGGAAACTTTTCATCCGTGTTTCCTTCATTTCATCAAAGCCTACCACCTGTCTAACTAATATCGACTCCTTGACCACATCTGCAGTCGGTTTCTCCATCTGTTCACTTTCCTTTTTTTTTCTTTTCTTTCTTTTCTATCTTTTCCCGATTTCTTTTCTTTCTTTCTTTACAGGTTGCATTTAACACAAAGCTTTGTCTCTCCGTTATCTTTCATTTTTCTGATATTATGGCAAACCCAATCCCATTTACGCCGTGGTATACAATAAAACGACAAAATGATTTACGGCGTGTCTTGGTATTGATTTCTGTCTGCTTCTATCCTTTGTGAGAGTTAAAGAAATGTGTTCAATAAATAACTGCCCCCCCCCC